TGGGCCCCTTCTCTTCTATAGGTGAAGCTTGTTCCCTCCTCAGGGCCTGGACCTTTCTTTCTCTGGCTCTTTGACTACCTGGATCCTTCCTATCGTTCTGATCTCGGCCAGAGTGTGGGGTTTCCAGAGAGGCCCCTTTCCGTCTCTCTATGCAGAGCAGCCCTCCACTGGCCACTGGCCTGCAAGGTGTCTACTGTGATTTTCTTCAAAGAGGATCACCATGTGGAGTTGTTGTATTTGTCTGGTTACTCATTGGCTGTTAGTGTCACATCTCACTAGACTGCTGGGCTCACGGTGCTGCCTGTGGCTGGCACTCGGGAACCGCGTGGACTGGTCCTCATGTGCCAGACACTGTGTAGGAGCCTGCGATGCAGTCCTGGGCTGGGAGAGCCAGCCTTGGCCTTAAGGGTCAAGTGAGGGACCATCTCATGCTCAGGGCTAAGACGGGGGTCTCTGAAAGCAGGGAAGGAAATGGTTGACTCAGGGTCAGGGTCATGGTCCGGGAGTGTCCTTGAGAAGTAACTGTTGGAGCTGAGAGCTATACGATGTGAGGGGGAGGGGCCCACGGAAGAAGGGCAGTGGATTTGACAGGACAGTTGACATAGGTGGTAGATAAGGGCACAGAGAGAGGGAGGAGCAGGTGAGGATTTCAGCTGGGCCACTTAACAGCTGTGCTGCCTTGGGCAGGTTCCTTAACCTCTCTGAGCCTAATTTATCTGTAAAATGGGAATAATAATAATATTTTTGTCAAAGGATGATTCTGAATATTTAGATACTTGGAATACGCATGTCCATAGCCTGGCATGTAGCAAACTAGGAAATGGTAGCCGAAGGAGGAAAGGGAGGAGAAAGACAGCTGAGGTGTGTTCACACTAGAACAGCTCTGGGCCTATTTGGCAGAGGGGGTGACACACAGGGGGGCACACCCTCATTCTTAGCCGCCATCTGTCTCTTTTCCTCGAGCCTTGGTCCCAGGGTCTCACCTGGCTCAGGTTCCCTCAGCAAGCAGGGCCCATGCTCCCAGTGACAAAGGCCCCTCCCCGGCCCTGCATGCTCTCTTCTGTGTCCTCCCGGTCTTACTTTCTCTCCCTCTCAGGCCCGGAACATGTCTGTTTGGCTCCCCGGCCCGGACGAGTCCCTCCCCAGCAGCAACTGTGCCATCCGAGTTGGAGACAAAGGTGGGTGGCCTGCACCAGCCAGGATATAGCTCACACCCTGCTGTGGTCACCCTTGACAACAGTGTGGCAGGCCAAGGATGGCACCCTGTGCTCCTCGGGGCCTCAGGTCCAGCCTCCCCCTCTGCTGGGCTCAGGGCCTCTCCCTGCTCTGCACAGTGTGCCCACCCAGGCTTCTCCTGAGTGCCCTGGCCTGCTCCTTGGGGCCCCTCCCACTCTTTGCTGCCTTTCTCTCCTGAGGTGGGGAGACCAAGCAGCCCCCTCCCACAGCTCAGCCTGATCTTCCTCTCCAGTCCCCTATGACATCTGCCGGCCAGACCACTCGGTGCTGACCCTGCAGCTACCTGTGACGGCTTCAGTGAGAGAGGTGATGGCAGCGTTGGCCCAGGAGGACGGCTGGACCAAGGGGCAGGTGCTGGTGAAGGTCAACTCTGCAGGCGGTGAGTTGTGTGTCGAATAGGGTGGCCCCAAGGGAGGAGGGGCCCTCAGAGCCATGCCCAGATCCCCCAATTAAAATCATCATCTTTATTGTCTTCATCACTGTTCATGATGCCTGGCATTTGCGGGAGGTTGGTGACGTCTCTTTAAAGTGCTTTAAATGTGGTGCTTGTCAGCATGAACTCTGGAGCCTGCTGCCCGCATCTGAACCCGGCTCTTCAGCGTCCTGTCTGCATGTCCTTGGGCACACAGGGTGCTTCATCTCCCCGTGCCCTGTTTCATCATCTGTAAAGCGGGGGTGAGAAGAGGACATGCTTCATAGAGGAATTGTGAGGACCACATGGCTCATCTGTGGAAGTGTTTAGAACAGTGTCTGGCACATAGCACTCCTTAGGTATTAGCTGCGACTGGTGTTCTTATCATGCTTGTATATTCACTTAATCCAATAACGATCTTATGAGATAGGTACTTTTGTCCTATCTCAGACAAGGAAACTGAAGCTCAAAGCGATTAAGTGATTTCCCCAAGCTCACATAGTGAGTGTAGCTAGCCTTTGAGTTTAGCATGGTGCCTGGCACAAAGCCAGGCTCAGAACATGGCAGCATGGATTTTTAAGACCTGCCTTCAGAGAACTTAAGGACATTAACAGCCACTGTTGTCTGTGAAGGATGCTGCCCAGGTCTGACCGCGGGAGCCCAGGGTAGGCTGGAATTAGGGGCGTCCAGAGAAGAAGGGCAAGGAGTGGAGGCAGAAAAGCAAAACCTTCTCCCTTCAGGACCTGGGGAGACAGGATGAAGTCACCTGTGCCTACGTGCTCTGGAAGCATTGCCCTCTGGTGGCCACCTGGAGAGTTGCGGTTGCCCAAAGCCAACATCTATTGATACCCTTCTCAGAGCCAGGTGCTGTTTAGAGAACAGATTTCTAGAGTGTTGTGATCAACACCCTTGTCAGTAAGCGATATTTTATTACAACCCCCCTGCTATGTGTATATTTTCTTATAAGTCATATACATGCATTCCTACACTAATGTTATGTAATTAAACTGTACACTAAATAGAGGTACAAAACAGATGAGAAAACTAAATTTAAGTAGAACAGCTAATATTTTTCCTGGATGCGTGGATGGCCTTGTGTACCTTACTTTGAGGCTATGGTCTAGGAGCTGAGGACTCAAATATGACTGAAAACACAGTCTCAGTCCACAAGAGCTGATGAACATCAACTCCAAGACTTCTGTAAAGGCACTTACCAGTTTTCATAGAGCTTTTACATGTATCATATACGTGTAGCCACTATTTATATAAACTATTTCATTTGACTGCCTAGTGAGGGCAACTCTTATTGTCTGCATTTGACAAAGGAGGAAACTGAGGCTCGGGGGGCTCCCACCTTGCCCAAGGTCTTCCTGTCTCACTAAGCATCCCCTTTCCTTCCCCTCCGGGAGTGTGGATGCGTGGGCACGTGCACCTGTGCACGTAGAGCACCTGTCCAGGACTCTAACCCTGATACTGAGAGAAGGACCTCCCAACCTCCCTAACAGGGCCTCCCCCCTGCCTCCAGCTGCTCCCCGGCCCCACTCCCTGTCCCCGCCTAGTGTATCCTCTGCTCTCTTTGCAGATGCTATTGGCCTGCAGCCAGATGCCCGTGGTGTGGCCACATCCCTGGGGCTCAACGAGCGGCTCTTTGTTGTCAACCCAGAGGAAGTGCATGAGCTGGTAGGGTCAGGCAGGGTGCCAGGACTCAGGGCAGATCTGTGTTTTGGGGGTGGTAGGGATGGGCACTGAGGAGCGAGGGGCCTGGTCTGGCTGCTGCTGGGCCTTAAGTGGAGAGAGGAAGGAGTGGGTTTCAGCTGATGGGGTATTCCAAAGGATGGGAGAGGCACGCTGATTGGGAGCTCTCAAGGAGAAAGAGGAAGATCTGCCCCCATAGGGGCTCCCTAGGGGATAGGAGCCCTACAGGGAGGCGTCGCGGTATCAGGGAGCTGTCAGGAAGATGCCTCCTTGGGAAGCCATATCATCTAGAGGCCCCTTCGCTGCCTGCAGCACCCCTGCCCTCCCCAACACTCTTCTGCTCATGGGCACAGAGTCTACCCCAAACTCTTCTCCCACCTGGTACCTTTCCTCTGGACTCCTCGGGCACCCCCCTGAGTACTCTCCCCCCTGCAGACCCCACACCCTGAGCAGCTGGGGCCCACGGTGGGTTCTGCTGAGGGGCTGGACCTGGTGAGCGCCAAGGACCTGGCCGTCCAGCTGACGGACCATGACTGGAACCTCTTCAACAGCATCCACCAGGTGCGGGGAGCGGAGCTGAGGGGAGGACAGCAGGTGGCAGGCATCTCGAGTGGCATGTGCTGATCTCTTGTGCTGCCCCCTCCCAGGTAGAGCTGATCCACTATGTGCTGGGCCCCCAGCACCTGCGGGACGTCACCACCGCCAACCTGGAGCGCTTCATGCGCCGCTTCAATGAGCTGCAGTACTGGGTGGCCACGGAGCTGTGTCTCTGCCCCGTGCCCGGCCCGAGGGCCCAGCTGCTCAGGAAGTTCATTAAGTTGGCAGCCCAGTGAGTGCCTGTAGGGATCCCTGGGATGTGTGGCAAAGTCCTTAGGCCACTTTTTCTTAAACCTCCCGGTCCCTGGTCAGGATGTTGCCAAATCTGGATGTTGTCTTGAAGTGGGGCTCTGTGGGTACGGCTGCTTCCCCTGAGGGTCTCTGGTTCTTCCGCTAACAGCCTCAAGGAACAAAAGAACCTCAACTCCTTCTTTGCCGTCATGTTTGGCCTCAGCAACTCAGCCATCAGCCGCCTGGCCCACACCTGGGAGGTAGGTGTTTCCTGGAGGGGTGGCCAGGCCCTCCCCTCACCCCAGTCCTGAGGTTGGACCCCAAGCCCATCCTGGGGACAGGACCCAGAGCAGCCTCATCTCCATCTACCTCTCCTTCGCAGCGGCTGCCCCACAAAGTCCGGAAGCTGTACTCGGCCCTCGAGAGGCTGCTGGTGAGTGCTGGGCTGCGGCCTGTCCCTCCAGAAACCCTGCTCCTTGGCTTCCCAGCAGCCCCTCTACTTGTCCTTGGTCACTGCCAGGGTTTCCAGCCCTGAGCCGGGACCTGGTTCTCTCTTGCCTGTGAGTGTGGGGAGCTGGCTGAAGAATGGGTGTGTAGCATTATGGAGGGGGTGCATAGGGTAGTCAGTCCCCCAGGATGTGGGGATTAGGGAGGTACATTTGCTGTGGCTCTGAGGTCCTGTGTGAAGACCAGGACAGGCACATGCGGTATCTGGCCCTGGGTCTGAGGTGCCAGGGGAGCACCGGGACTCAGGAAGCAGGTCCCGGCACCAGCACCCACAGTGTGCCAGGGCCTGGCTCCAGGAGCCTGTGGTCAGACGAGGCCAAAAGGCGAGGAAAAAGTTGAGGAGCAGAACTCCAACTCCCAAGAATTGTTGGGGGGTTTGAAAGGTTTAGACAATGTTCAGGAGAGAACTGGCTCAGAGGTGTTCTTATCAGTATGGCTCTGGGAGCTGAGCGAAAAATTCACCGGTGGGGCTCAAGAGGGTGAAAGGAACTTACCTGCCAGAGAGGGGGTGGGCATGGGGAGTGGGGGGGGGAGAGAAAGACAGACAGAGAGAGAGAGAGAGATCCATGAAAGCTCAGGGCCCTGTGACTAATGGCTATGAAGTTTCCTTGGTGGCTAATTGGAAGCCAGGAAGCCACATGAACACATGGCCTTCCTGCCTGCCACAGAGCCTGCCTTGGTGAGACCTGGGGCAGAGTCAGCGCTGAGCTCCAAGGGTGGGCATATGGCCCTTCTTGGGGCGGGGGCAGCATTTGGTTGTGTTACGGTATGTGGTGAGCTATGGTGTGGGGGACCTTCCCTTTCTCACTGTGACTTCTTTCCTCCCAGGACCCCTCATGGAACCACCGAGTGTATCGACTCGCCCTCACCAAGCTCTCCCCTCCTGTCATCCCCTTCATGCCCCTCCTTCTCAAAGGTAATGGGACCAGAGCTTACCTTCCAGCCTCCATCCTGTCATGCATTCCTGCGCCTGTATGTCTGCATGTCCACCCAACCCTCTCTGAGCGATTCCAATGTGCTGACGCCTTGAGGGGCACAGCGACGAATTAGGAGTTCACAGGCTAGAAGCAGAGTCAGCACATGCAGACAGACATGCAGACAGGCATTGGTGACATCGGATGGCCTCTGCTATGAGGCCTAAGAGGTACAAGGAAATTATTCCAGGAGTTGGAGGGGAGCCAGAAGAAGAGGGCAGTGGGGGGAGGGGGGACGGGGGATGAGGCTCATTATTGGCCCTTCACCTTTCTTGGACTGCTGAAGGGGAAAGGCGTTTGGGGATCTTTGAGCACAACCAGTTTCTTTGCAGACATGACCTTTATCCATGAGGGAAACCACACCCTGGTGGAGAATCTCATCAACTTTGAGAAGATGGTGAGTTCCAGGAGAGCAGTCGCCTCCTACTGGATTGGGTTGGGGGATATGACTACGGCCTTGGAAGAAAGTGCGGGGAAGCGGGGGGCGGTGTTAGGAGATGGTCTAAAGTTATTAATAACATGAATGTGAAGACTTATTTTAAATTAGCCCTTTCGTAACTCCATTGTATACTGGAGAGCCTGCTCTATTGGGGGTGCTGGGGGGCAGCCTCAACTATCTCACCCTTCAACGACAGCCCCTCCCAGGCCTCTTCCTCTCTGAGCTCTTCCTGACCTCTGTTCTCCCACTTCCTGGTCCCTGCTGGGCCTCTGCCTGTACTGGGGCAAAGGAGACATGCCCCCCTCTCCCACCTACCCCCATAGCCTCTTAGCCTCTAGTTCAGGGGTGGGCAACCCCTGGCACGCGTGCCAAACATGGCACGCCAGTAACTTTTGCTGGCACGCAAAACCCTCTCTTATAATCTTCCATTTACAATTTTTTCCTTAATATCGACTTTTTTATTTTTCAGATAAATTCAGTGTAGGTGCATCTTAGATAAATAAATAATTTTACATAACATGTATACATTAAAAAATAAATGTATTTTTCATCATCATATACTGTGTTTTTGTCACTCGAATGAATTTTATTATTTCTTCAAGGTTCTTCACATATGTACACCTTAAAAGATATCAAGTAGGCCTAACATGTTCTCAAAAAATTAGGGTTGGCACGCAGAAGAATTTTGAGTCAGAGATTTTGCTGGTTTGGGCACGCACTCACAAAAAGGTTGCCCACCCCTGCTCTAGGTGCACCCTGCTCTCAGGGAGCTCGGGTTCCCAGCTGCCCCACAGGCCAGGCCGGGGTTCTGCTCTCAGGCCTGGTCTCATGTCCTTGCTTTGTCCGCAGAGAATGATGGCCAGAGCCGTGCGGATGCTGCACCACTGCCGAAGCCATAGCAACGGTGAGAGGGCCGGCACCCCTGGGTAGGTGCCCCCCAATGCCCCCTTCCAGGCTTGGCTGTGTCTTCCTGACTCCCACCTCTCTCCTACCCAGTGCCTCTCTCACCACTCAGAAGCCGCGTCTCCCACCTCCATGAGGACATCCAGGCAGCGAGGGTTTCCACGTGTAAGTGGGGCAGGGTGGGTGCTGATGCGTTAGCGTGTTTAGGCACTTGCATACATGATACATCTATGATACATGCTGACAGCTTCACAGCACCTCTATGACGTATGTGGAATGTTATCCCAACTTAAAGATGCACGAACAGGCTTGATGTTAAATAACCCGCAGAGACCACACTAGTTAGCGAGGGAGTTGCGACCCATGCAGGCTTGCTCAAGACCTGCATTTCAAAAATTGACTCTCAGTTTCATGAAATGGGATTAATCATAATTCACACTTCATACCACACTATCATCATTGGCCTTTTATTATATTTTATGTGTGTGTTTATTCTGATAATGTAATGAACATTTCTGGACCCAGTCCAAGCATGAGCACACTGACAGTAAGACCTCCATGTGATAGTCCCCTCGCCTCCCCACCCATGGTAACTGCTATCCTGAATTTTGAGTTACTCATTGTTTTGTTTTGTTTTTGTTTTTAATGAAACTTTAAAAAATATATATTTATTGACTTGAGAGAGAGAGAGAAACATTGATTTGCCATTCCTCTTATTTAAGCATTCATTGGTTGATTCCTATATGTATCCTGACCGGGATCAAACTCACAACCTTGGTGTATCAGGACGATGCTCTAACCAACTGAGCTACCTGGCCAGGTCATTTTCTTGTTCTTTAAAATAGCTTTATCATTCACACACAGATACACACACACACACACACACACACACACACACATATACTT